AGCTCCGCCTTAATGGACTGATAGTCCCGCCCTAAATGACTGATAGCCCTGTCCTACAATGACTGATAGCTACACCCTAAATAACTGATAGCCCCACCTAATGAACTGAAAGCTCTGCCCTAAAGCACTGAAAGCACTGCCCCGAATTACTGATAGCCCCGCCCTAAAATTCTTAAAGCTCCACCCTAAAGCACTGAAAGCTCTGCCTAAATAGACTGATAGTTCCGCTCTAAGTGACTGATAGCCCTGCCCAGACTGTTGTGTTGCTTAGTTACAAGCCCTGTCAATCATCTCGACCCATCATCCACATTTCTGTCATAATTAATTTCCTACAGTATTGTAGATTCAGCAGCTGCAGCAGGTTAATCTGCCATTCACGAGTCTTTCATGCAGAGAAATCTCCTCAGGTGTTTGCAGAATTCAGAAGTGACAAAACCTGATTTAAATATTCTCCAGAAGGTTAGATATTAATTAATGATCACTCAAATATCTTTACTAAAGTGTCTCTACTTGAAGGTTGTTCTCACGCGTCCTCCATTTTTGTAGTTGGTTTACAACTTTTACACATGTTTGTAGTTATTAAATTTACATCTAAAGTGCAATGTATTGTGGGTAATATTAACGGTTAGAGTGTATGGAGGGTTCTACACTTTGAAACAGTCGACCATCTGGGCGTTCTGTTCAAGATGCTACAGTTTGGGACACACTAACTAGATTGCTGAATACTGTTTAGTACAGGTAGTGTGCGAGTTGGGATGCAGCATTTGTTTGTGAAATGTATGTATGTTTTTGTTTGCGTGTATGCTTTTTCGTGTGTATGTGTGTGTGAGCACCTCTCCGGTCTGTCTGCGTGAGCGGCGTGGGATGTGCACTGGCGTGAGTCCCTGTGTCAGCTCCGTCATGGAGGTCAGTCCTCCTCTGCCGAACAGTATCAGCCCGTCTTCACTCCTGGTGCTGAAGGAGAGCGAGATCTCCGAGCCCACGGCAAATGACACCGGATTCAGCTCCATAAACCCGGCCCGTGGGAAACTCACTGTGTGCAGATTCTGACACACCAGAGGAAAAGAAACACAAACACATAAACACAAACAAGTCTGATCAGTGTGGAGGCTGCTGGATTAGATTGATGCATTCAGAAACACACATATTTATCACTTTATTTATCTGTTTTACAGAACCCGCCCCAAATGACTAATAGCCCTGCCCTAAATGACTGATAGCCATCCCCTAAAAGTACTAATAGCTCCACCCTAAGTGGCTGATAACTTGGCCCCAAATGATAGATAGCCCTGCCCTAAAGCACTAAAAGCTCCGCCCTAAAGCACTAAAAGCTCCGCCCTAAAGCATTAAAAGCTCCGCCCTAAAGGACTGAAAGCTCCCCCCCTAAATGATTGATAGCCCTGCTCTAAAAGGACCAATAGCTTCACCTTAAATAACTGATAGCCCCGCCTCAAATACCATATAGCCCCGCCCTAAAGCACTGACAGCTCCACCTCAAATGACTGATAGCCTTGGACTAAAAGGACTGATAGCTCCGCCCTAAGTTATTGATAGCTCCGCCCTAAAGCGCTGAAAGCTCCGCCCTAAAACACTGATAGCCCTGCCCCAAATGACTGATAGCTCTGCTAAAATGATTAATATCTCTGTCATAAATGACTGAAAGCCCCACCCTAAAGAACTGAAAGCTCCGCCCTAAAGCACTGAAAGCACTGCCCCAAATTACTGATAGCTCCGCCCTAAAGCACTGAAAGCTCTCCCTAAATAGACTGATAGCCCTGCCCTAAATTACTGATAGCCCCGTTCCAATGAAAGGTTAGCTCCGCCCTAAAGAACTAAAAACTCTCCCCTTAAGCACTGAAAGCACGGCCCTAAATGACTGATAGCTCCGCCCTAAATGATTGATAATCGTGCCCTAATTGACAGATAGCCCTGCCCTAAAGCACTGAAAGCTTCGCCTTGAAGGACTGAAAGCACTCCCCTAAAGGACTGACAGCCCCGGCCTAAATGGTGGATAGCCCCGCTCTAAAGGCCTTCCATGTGACCAGAAGTGAAGAAGTGGGAAGCAAGGTTATGGTATTTTATTTTACAAAATAACGCATGTTGTCTTCAGGGAGGGAGATAATAATAATCAGTTGTCTAACTGTACCTCAATGGAGCAGCCTTTGGTCAGTCCTGTGTAATCTGGACTGCTCAGCAGATTATATGGCGTTCGGGAGACCTCGATATCCTTCATACAGCCAGAAAACCTCTTCAAAACCACCTCTGACCTGCAGAAAGATGTAAAACAAAGAAACTCATCCAATCAACAGGCTTAAGATTACATTGCAGAAATTCAAATCCACAAGCTCCGTGTACAGGGATGGCAGCTAGCATTCTGCAACTCTCACATGGTCGCCCATTGAAACTAAGCAGGGCTGTGCCCAGTCAGTACCTGGATGGGAGACCACATGGGAAACTATGTTGGAAAGCAGGGGGCACCCAACCTGCAATCTGTGTGGGTCCTAATGCCCCAGTATAGTGACAGGGACTCTATACTGCTCAGTGAGCGCCGTCTTTCACATGAGATGAGGTCCCGACTTTCTGTAGGCATTAACTTTGGGGTTTAACCCTGACATCATGGCCAAATTTGCCCACAGGCCTGTGTCCATCATGGCCTCCTAACCATCCCCATATCATAAATGGCTTCATCACTCTGTCTCCTCTCCACCAATCAGCTGGTGTGCGGTCTGCCACAATATGGCAGCTATCCTTTTTCTCATGACACAATTTTTTTTTTAACCTCTCAGGTTTTGCAATGTCCTGAATTTTCATTGCCAATCTTAAGCCAATTGTAATCGTTTAAGCCTTCTTTCCGCTGTACATGACAAGCGATAAACCGGAAGTCAACCATTTCCATTGGAGAGTAGTCCAGGAGCTGCGTGGATATCCGTTCATCTACGTGTGCGGAAAATTCGGATGCACGACAAAATTGAAAATTCTCTGCGACTGCCACAAGGGGGCGTATTCCGACAGTCGTGTCCGTGGCTGCATCCGAAACCGCCTACTACTCAGTAGGTACTGCATTTGAATTTAAACATACTACTCGGCCGTTAGAAATGTACGTTCTATACAGAAATGGGAGCAGTATGAATGGAAGTCGGACTTACTACATCCGCCATTTTGTCATGGTCACATGACCTACCTGCGTCAGTTGCGTCGCTTTACTCCCATTCATGAATTCTCTCACGAGGCATCATGGGAGAGCGCAGCATGCATGGGATGCGCACTTCAGAATCTCGCCGGAAGTAGTCATCCGGGTACTCCTCGCATACTGATTTTCCAATTCTATGAATTCAGACATACTACTCGGCTCACACATGGATTTTAGCGTACTGTATAGTATGAATGTACGTGGTTTCCGACGCAGCCCAAATGTCGTGTGCAGTGGAAAGGTAGCTTTAAATTGGTTCAATTTGGAATTTCCTCAACCAACGCAGAGCCTGGGGGACCAGAGTGAGTGCTCCGACTTAGCCCCCCCCCGATCCCCAAAACATATTTCTAAAAGTGCTGTTGACTTGAAATTTTCGTCAGATGTCAGAAACAACTAGATTTATCCATACATACAAACAAAACAAATCTAGTTTGAAATTAAGTTGTGCGTAAAAAGCTTAAATGACACAGGGAAAAGGTATTGAACACATGAGGAAAGCAAGGAGTAAATATGCATGGAAAGCCCAGTCAGCAGCTGAAATCTCTCAGTATTATCTTCAATAAAGAATATCTGCTTCAACACCTACATTACCAGATGATGGAAATTAAGACCAGGGTGGATATTTCAGCAACACAATGATCACAAAAACTCTCAGCTGTGTTCAGAAAAGAAAATAAAGCTGCTAGAATGGCTCAGCCAATCACCTGACTGAATGCGTTGAAAATAAGACTCAAGATCAGAAGTAAGATGCCAGTAAGTTACTGTAAATCCTACAGGAGATGGTTAACTGTAAATGATGCTTCTCCACTATACACTTCTCCACACCTGTATTTTCCAGCTTTGGGCAATCCTCCGAAAAATATGCGCTCGTTGTCTCGCAGGTTAAGGCCTGTAGCGCCCCCTGGTGACGCCATCAGCAGCCGCTCATTCTCATTAGTGTCCATGTTGACGATGGTGATGGTGGCTGATCACACAGGAAAGAGGAAGAGGAATTACAGACGCTTGTAAGACATTCTCACACTGATACTGACCTGGAGTCAAAAAGGCTGATTAATGCTAAAACCATGCTAGTTACATGCTAATTCATGATAACAACATGATAATTCATGCTAGAATCATGCTAACAACATGCTAATTCATGTTGAAATCATGCTAACAAAAAGTTGATTCAAGCTGGAATCACATTAACAAAATGCTAATTCATGCTCCAAACATGCAAACAGCATGCTAATGTATGTAAAAAACATGTTAACAAAATGCTAATTTATGCTAAATACATGCAAATTTATGCTAAAACATGTTCGAAACATGCTAAATAATGTTGAAAACATGTTAACAATGTGCTGATTCATGTTGGAATCATGCTAACAACATGCTAATTTATGTTAGAAACATATTAACAACATGGTAATTCATACTAGAAACATGCTACATATCTCAAGCCACCATAAAGTTATTCCCCAAATTTATTATCTAGTTGACATATAAACCACTGTTCTGATGTTTTCTGAACACACACATGCTAACAGTATTGCATGTCTCCTTAAAGTTAAAACACACACTCGGGTGTGTATCGTTATGTGTGCAGGTAAGTGACGCGTGTGAAGAAAAAGAGTTTTGTTGTGATCTCTGTACCTTCTTTCTTCATGCGGGACATGGTGAAGGACTTCCACTTGCCGTCATTATAGCGTTTATCACTGATGATGGAGCCGGTGCCAGAGCCCAGATCATAACTCACTTTCACCCTGCCATCACTCAGTTCAGCACTCATGAAGTCTTTCTGCTCACACACACACACACACACACACACACACACACACACACACACACACACACACACACACACACACACACACACACACACACACACACACACACACAAATATACAAATGAGTGACTGAAAGAATGAGTGGATGAATGAATGAATGAATGAATGGTTAAAATAATGACTTGATGGATGGATGAAGGAATATTTGAATGAATGGACGGATGAATGAGTGAATGAATGGATGATATAATGATTAAGTGAGTGTGTGTGTTAATGAATGAATGAATAAATGAGTGAGAGAGTGAATGAATGGATGGCTGTATGAGTGAGTGGATAGATGGATGAATAAAAAATACAAATGGATGAATGAAAGGATGATTGAGTTATGGCATGAATGAGTAAGTGGGTGAATAAATAAATTAATTGATGAATGAATGAGTGAGTGAGTGAGTGAGTAAGCGGATGGAAAGGTGGGTGAGTGGCTGGATGAATGGGTGAGTGGATAGATGAATGAATAAAAGAGTAAGTGAGTGAACGAATGATTGAATGAGTGGATGGATGAATGAATGAATGAATGAATGAATGAATGAATAAATGAGTGGATGGGTGAGTGAGTAAAGGAGAGACCGATGGTTGGGTGAGTGGCTGGATAAATGGGTGAGTGGATGGATGAATAAATAGATGAATTAATGAGTGAGTGGGTGAACGAACAAATGAGTGAGGGAGTGGATGGATGAATGATTGAATGAATGGATGAAAAAAATGAGTGAATGAATGAATGAACAAATGAATGAGTGAGTAAATGAATGAATATACATTGTCAACATTTGAAGTGGATCAAAAAGTATGGTCAAAATTGTCCAAGAAAAGACAAGAATGTTTGTTGTTCAATAGTTTTAGATAATTACATTTTTGATTGACTTCAAATGTTGACAAATCTGACCAATCAAATGCTCTTTAGTATCTGACATGCACCGCCCCCTTCTTCTCATTGGCTTTTCAATTGATTCCGTTTAGCTTTACCATTTCACTGTGAAAAAAAAACTAAACACCATTGGCTGTTTTTTTTAAGGGGGGGGGGGGGGGGTACTCTATGCCCTTCCCTCTCTTCATGATTCTGTTGAGATTGTCTAACGTCCAATAAAAAGGCAGATTTCACGAGAACGTTAAATTAAACAGCCAATACTATAGTCAGATCAAGGTTTTGTGTCTAATAGTTTATTTTTGTGGCAAGCAGTAATAAGCAGGATAATGTACATCCAGCCGGCGGTAAATCATTGGCGGGTGTTTCACCAAACCCTTGAGCATGTGTGTGTGTGTGCGGTATAAGTGTGCTGTTACCATGTCTTTGGTGGCGAAGTACATGATGACGGAGTGTGTGGAGAAGGTGCGAAACTTGAACATGACAGTGGAGACATTTGGGTTCCACCTGGTGGGGCGACTGACGGACGCATAACCATCTCCATCAAACTGAACCGTTCCTTCAGTGTCTGCAGGCTGAGGACTAAACACACACACACACATGTACAGAAGTGTATTTTCCCATCTTAGTGAGGACATAGCACAGATTTTCAATTTATATCAAGCTAATGGTATTTTTATGCCCTAAACAAACATTTTAGATACTAACAAATACACTTTTTTAAATAGGGAGAACCAGAAAAATGTCAACACTACTGGGCTCTTTTGATATTTCACTTTACTGTAGGATGTACAGGGTGTGCCATTTATATGGAGACACCTTAATAAAATGGGAATGGTTGGTGATATTAGCGTCCTGTTTGTGGCACATTAGTATATGTGAGGGGGGCAAACATTTCAAGATGGGTGGTGACCATAGTGGCCATTTTGAAGTCGGCCATATTGGATCCAACCTTTGTTTTTTCAATAGGAAGAGGGTCATGTGACACGTCAAACTTACAGGGAATTTCACAAGAAAAACAATGGCGTGCTTGGTTTTAACGTAACTTTATTATTTCATGAGTCATTTACAAGTTTCTGACCACTTATAAAATGTGTTCAATGTGCTGCCCATTGTGTTGGATTGTCAATGCAACCCTCTTCTCCCACTCTTCAGACACTGATAGCAACACCGCAGGAGAAATGCCAGCACTGGCTTCCAGTATCCGTAGTTTCAGGTGCTGCACATCTTGCATCTTCACACCATAGACAATTGCCTTCAGATGACCCCAAAGATAAAAGTCTAAGGGGGTCAGATCGGGAGACCTTGGTGGTTTTTCAACTGGCCCACGACAACCAATACACTTTTCAGGAAACTGTTCATCTAGGAATGCTCGGACCTGACACCCTGCATTATCTTGCTGGAAAAACTCAGGGAGCGTGCCGGCTTCAGTGCATAAAGAGGGAAACACATCATCATGTTGCATTGTCAAATACCCAGTGGCCTTGAGGTTTCCATTGATAAAGAATGGCCACACTATCTGTGTTGTCTATGGTGTGAAGATACAAGATGTGCAGCACCTGAAACTACGGATACTGGAAGCCTGTGTTGGCATTTCTCCTGTGGTGTTGCTATTAGTGTGTGAAGAGTGGGAGAAGTGGCAATCCAACACAATGGGCAGCACATTGAACACATTTTATAATGAAAGAATAAAGTTACGTTAAAACCAAGCACACCATTGTTTTTCTTGAATAATTTCCAATAAGTTTGACGTGTCACATGACCCTCTTTCTATTGAAAAAACAAAAGTTGGATCCAATATGGCCGACTTTAAAATGGCCACCATGGTCACCACCCATCTTGAAATGTTTGGCCCCTCACATATACTAATGTGCCACAAACAGGACGCTAATATCACCAACCATTCCCATTTTATTAAGGTGTATCAATATAAATGGCCCACCCTGTACATCATACTGCTTTTTGCTCTCATTACACATACATGTATGCACACAAATGCACATACACACTGACACACACAATCATGCAGACACACAAACAAAGACATGCACACACCTACATACACGTGTGCACAAATACATACACACCTACAGACACATGCAAACACAAACCTATTTACACTGACTCATATACACACACAAGCACACATACATGCACACAAGAAGACACACACACACTCAAGCATGTTGTTTGGTGTGTTGTTGGCTCACCTGACAACACATCCAGCACAGTCCCCGTCTCTCTCTCTGTAGTTCCAGAGGCCGATGGGCTTTCCATCCAGAGACGTCTCACCCATACAGCCTGAGAATGTGGTGGTTTTCACAGCATCTGCTTTCTACACACACACACACACACACACACACACACACACACACACAGACACGTATACACAAAGAACTGAAATGTATTTCACATTTGCACAAATTTTTTAAATAAATATTTAAGACACACTGACACCGTGGTACTTTTTAATTTTAACAGGACATGGCTTGAGCTGTAGTAAAAATGCAATATCACAATCACAACACAGCGGTATGGCTGTATATCAGCACTGCTGTGATTACCTACAGCACTCGGCCTGCAGTGCTGATACACTATCGCAGTGTTATGAGTGTGATATTGCTCATGTATGTGTACTGGAAAACTAAACACGAATGAAGCAGAGCTGTGGATTGCTGTAGTCTCACCTTCACTGATCCCAGCATGCCTCCGACAAACAGGTAAGCGTTCTGGTCCACGTCCAGCACAGTGTAGGTCTCCGGTGCTTTTGCACTTCTGAGTGAAGGTAAGATGCCTGTTTTGGGTCCCTCGAGCGCACGGACTGAGATACTGCCGTTCAGACCAATACTGCACAACAGTAAGACCAATGCTTAATCATATAATAGAATAATAGCAATACCGGACAACACCAACAGGACAATAGAGTGGAGGAACTATGACATCAATTTGTATGCAAAAACCAGGAAGCAAATTAGCCGCGAGTTTTAGCCGTTCCGGTTTCCTCGTCCCAAAGTCAATGGGTTTTTTGAATGGGGTTTCAGTAAAATCACTTAAATAAGATTCGTAGCTAACACAAACTCAAGATACTTTCACGCTTTCTTCTACGACATAAATTACATCAGTTAAAGCACACTCTTGATTTTTTAAATCGGTTATGCTTCTTTAAAAAGACTATCAAGTTGCTAAATGGGACTACAGGCGGTGTCGGAGACATTATACGTCATCGAGCTGATCTGGTCAGGAGCGCAGCTCGCTTGTGTTGGGTGTTTGGATTTGTCTGTGATTTAAGTATTTGCATGAATAGTTTTATAGTTGGGCGGGGCAGTGGCGCAGTAGGTAGTTCTGTCGCCTCACAGCAAGAAGGTCGCTGGTTCGAACCTCGGCTCAGTTGGCGTTTCTGTGTGGAGTTTGCATGTGCTCCCTGTGTTCGCGTGGGTTTCCCCCACAGTCCAAAGACATGCGGTGCAGGTGAATTGGGTAGGCTAAATTGTCCGTAGTGAATGATGCTGTGTTCACACCAGACGCGGAACGCGCGGATAAATTGCGCTATTTCCGCGTAAAAAAATTTTTCCGCGAACATTTGAGGTTACTTGCTTCATTCGTGCGTCAAACCTCGCTTCATTCGCGTGTCAGAACAGACGCGGATTTGCGTGATGGGCAGGGCTTCTGTCAGCCCGAAGACTCTAGCTTCATAGCTAAATGGCTAACATGGATTTTATGAAGAAAATAACAGTGTTTATGTGCTTTATGAAGACTGAAAAACATCGTTGATACGTTTAGGACCGTGTCTGAGTCCACTACATGCTTTCAGAGGTGCATCCAGCTCTTTAAGCTCATAAACTCCTCCAGAAACTTAACTTGGATGATGGAGGCTTTCAGCGGTGCTTCTGACTGAGCCAAGCCGAGTTTGATGACAACAGGTTCTACGTCACAATCACGCCCCCACAAGGGCATGCTTCTGATTGGTTAACGCGGCGCGAATGTACGCTCAAGTTTAGATTTTCGAACTCGAGAGATTCGCGCAAAACGCTTGTTAAGCACGTCAAACGGGCAAAACGCTCAATTCGCCCCGCGCCATTCACGTAATTTGAGTTCACTGTAGAGTTTAAACATTACATTTTATTACATTGTTTAACTTTTATATTGTTGTTCTATCCAGTTTTGTTGTATTTTGAAACTACTGCTATTCAGCAATGTTTAAACTTTACTGTAATTTTACATTTTAGAAAAGATGAAGCATGAATAGTCCTCACTTTAGATTAGGTCACAAAACTGCATGAAGTTGAGTTAATAAAGCATTTATAACATATTAGTTAACTATTAGTATATGCCTGAATAATAAGACATATAAACGTTGATTTCAATAGCTTATTAATCATTTACTAACTCATTCTGAATGATCCTAAAAACCCTCAACTACTCTTAAATACAAATGGCTTGTAAATAATGCGATAATTAATTTAGTAATGAAAAATAAATCATTTATGAAGTATGAAAATACAATTATTAAGCACATTTTAAATATGGTTATAAGTCAAGAACAGAGCATTTGTAGCTGCAGTTATAAACTGCTTACTAACGTTTATTAATGTAGAGTTAATGCTTAACGGATAATGTAATGTAATGTAATGTAATGTGTATTATTATAGCGCATTTATTGTGTACAGCCATACACCCAAAGCGCTTCACAATCATGAGGGGGGGGGGTCTCTCCACACCACCACCAGTGTGCGGCATCCACTTGGATGATGCGACGGCTGCCACAGGACAACGGCGCCAGTGCGCTCACCACACACCAGCTATTGGTGGAGTGGAGGGACAGTGATAGAGCCAATTCGGTGGAGAGGGGATGATTGGGAGGCCATGATCGTAAGGGCCGATAGAGGGACTTTGGCCAGGACACCGGGGTTACACCCCTGCTCTTTCACGAGAAGTGCCTTGGGATTTTTAATGACCACAGAGAGTCAGGACCTCGGTTTAACGTCTCATCCGAAAGACGGCGCTCAATGAATTCGTCTATTTGCTAATGCTTAATAAATGATTTATAGTGTGTAGTTATTATAAAGTGTTACCCTGATTTCTTTTGTCTTTGCCATGATGACTGTACAGATATTTGACTAGATATTTAGTAAGATACTAGTGTTCAGCTTAAAGTGACAGTAAAAGGTTTAACTTAGCTTCGATTAATTGGGCAAGACATTGTAAAATGAGTGTTTGTTCTGTAGACAATTGAAAACAAATATTGCTTAAGGTGGCTAATAATATTGACCTTAAAATGCTTTAAAAAGCTGCTTTTATTCTAGACGAAATAGAACAAATAAGACTTTCTCCAGAAGAAAAGATAGGAAATGCTGTGAAAAATCCTTGCTCTGTTAAACTTTATTTGTGAAATAATCGAAAAAGAAAAATATATTAAAATGGAGGGTGAATAACTCTGACTTCAACCATATTTGGAAAAGAATAAAAATTTCACCAGAGGGTGAATATACGGTATCTTGTTTTATGGATGGCTAATGGATGATAAAACGCTGAATGAACATGTGTGAATGATTTGCAGCGGTGCAGTTTTCAGCTCATGCTGTGTGTGACCTCTTGAATTACCGTGAGGCTTCGATTCGGTGCCAGTTTCCATCGTTGATGATCAGATCTGGATATTCCACTCGGCCGACCCCTGACCCCACATCCCACAGGAAGTTCACCTTCCCCTTACGCATCTCGATGGCCAAGAAATCCACCTACACACACACACACAATCAGTGAATGCAGCGCTACACAAACAGGACTTCTTGAGCTCTAATTATTTCTTTCTCTTAGCCTCGGGCAGCAGATGTTTATAAGCGGGTGTGGAGGAAAATGCTGTCATCGACTCCAGAGCAAACCTGTATTTTACCATTCTGTCCTCTTTAAAGGGGTGGTCCAGGGTGTATTTTTAAGGCTTGGTTGTGTTTATGGGGTGCAAAACAATGTGTGCTCATGCTTCATTTGTAGAAAATCACCTTATTTTTTTGATTATATACTGCTACTCAGCTAACATATTTACAAATATCAGACAAATTGAATAAACCAAAATAGCCGTAGTGTTAAAGAGTGTGTATGGGTGTTTCCCAGTACTGGGTTGCAGCTGGAAGGGCATCCGCTGTGTAAAACATATGCTGGAATATTTGGCGGTTCATTGCGCTGTGGCGGCCCCTGATGAACAAAGGGACTAAGCTGAAGGAAAATGTTGAATGAATGTTGACAGTGTACTGCAGAGCTGTGTACACCTGAATCTGAACAGTTTGACACTCACGTATTTGGCGGATCCCAGGTAGAAGAGCAGGTTATCGGCAGCGAGGGTCTTGAGGTGGAGGATGATGGTGTTGTAGCGGCCCTTCTTGATCTCTGGCCGGTAGGTGCGGATGCAGTCTCCACCGGACGACACAGACACCTTAATCTGCGGTTCACAGGACATGCTTAACATTGTTAACACCACACAAAAATGAAGTCTGATGGCCCGATTTCATAGATATATACACTAGATATCGCATAGGGACCCTGAGCATGCGTCAATAGCGCCGCCACATTGGTACAGTGCTCCCAGGACAAGTGTCATTCAACCGCACAGTGTTATTACGTGAAGATGCACTTTAGCGCTGTCTACGAGTGTAGTAACGAGCAAACAAAGAAAACAAAGCACAAAGGCAGAACATTTCATAGGTAAGATTAAAAAATTTTTCTGTTTTTGGATGTTCTGAACTTTTGTGCTAATCAGGTAACGTTATTGATGATAACAGTCACTTACTGCATTCACCATAAGGTAAAGCAGCTCCAACTCGCACTAAACACTCGGCTTATGCTAGTTTTGTTGAATAAAATCAGCAAACAATGCAAAAGAAATGACAACGAGATGCTGCGCTGCCAGAAACTTGTATTATTGTCGGCTAACGTTAGTGAAAGAGTCGTTCGGGGGATTCATTCACAAACGAATCGCTCCCTCCGTCAGTATGAGAAGTGAAAGCAGGAGAGGAGCTGTGTTCAGGACATGATTAGATCAAATTTAACAGGGAGGGTGGATAGTACATTTCTGTACACACAAACACAAGGTTTTTGTCAGGAATGCCCGTGCGGTCACTGATCCATCAATGTAGAAAAGTGATGTAAAATTATAATTTTCGTAATTAGAAAAGAAAAATTACATACTAACATCCAGGAAAACTCCCGATCACAGATATATGTGTATATGTGTATATCTCTGGCTTTGCATGGCCACAGTCCTCCACTGTACCTTGGTCCCGCATTCATTTCAAAGGAGCACTACCTTGTACCAAGATGGCGGCGCTATTGACGCATTCCGTCCAATAGACAACAATAGGCCAGGCGACATCTAATGTAAATATCTATGGCCCGTTTCCACTGAGTGGTACGGTACGGTTTGGTTTTATGGCCGTTTCCACTGTCAAAAAGCGTACCGAACCAAACTGTACCGTACCACGTTTTGCGGCACCCTTTCGAAAGGGTACCAAACGGGAGAAAGAGTACCAAAAGGTGGAGCTACACGCACAGCCGAACGCTGATTGGTTAGAGATATGCCACAAGCTCGTGGAGCTACACAGAATGTAAACAAAGGATACGCCATGTTTTTTTAATACAAAGCCGAGACATTACATGGAAATACTATATGCATAATAATGAGCCATGGATGACCCGGGCTCAGACAAACCTTGACTCCCAGCCTGACCAGCTAAGACCAGGCTGGAAATGGCTGGAAACCAGCCTGGAAGTGGCCAAACCCCCTCTAAAACGAGTCTGGTCGACCAGCTAAAACCAGCCAACCAGCCTAGGCTGGTTTAAGCTGGATTTTTCAGCAGGGGTAAAACGTGTAAAAAAAGAGAAGCCGTCAAAACACAGGAACAAAATTGTTTTAGCAACCTGAATCATGAACAAACTGCCATGTTTATCTTCGCCTTTTGGACTATTATGAACTGGGAATGACAGAATGACTCTCTAACAGAGCTTACATGTGCTGCTGAAGATTACAGACACAGATGAGAGGTCTGTGCAGACTCTGGGCAATATTGCGTGTGTTTTTGAACTCAAATAAGTACTAAATTATTGCTCTGTGTAGTTTTTCCATAATTAATAATATTTAGACGTTACAGTAGGCTATTTCGCACTGTCATTGATCTGCAGCTATAATCAACTTATGTTCATAGAAAAGTCAGTAATAAACATTTATAAACAAGTATTTATGTGTATAAAGTATCTGTTTTGTGAGCAGTGCTGCTCATTATGATATGTGAGCGACCCGTACAGCTTTACTGTAGACATTTATTTGAGCGAGCATGACGTCGACTGAAACTTTCTGTCGTACACCACGCCCACCAAAAGGCTACCCTTTGTGGTGGAAACGCAAGCCTGATAAAGGTGACCCGTACCGACCCGAACCGTACCCTACTGTACCAGTCAGTGGAAACGAGGCATGATTGTGTCCTCCAGAAACAGCAATAAAAAATATTGTGTGTTTTTATTTGTAGGGAAGCCTGTGGGTGTCAGTATTGTTCACAAGTGCTCAGCGCAGTACTCACAGAGTTGGCCTGCTTGCGTGCCTGGTTGATGAGTTCTTTAATCTGCGAGATGTTTTTCTTCAGGTTGTCCTGCAGCTCCTGAATGGGCTTCAGCTTCTCCATCAGCCTGTCGGCTTCATTCTCCAGATCCTTCACTTTGGCGCCTGCTGCATGAACTACAGACACCATCGCACACATTAAGCCCAGCAAACCAGAAATCCAGAGTCAAACACACATGGCATTAGAAACATGCTCCATAGCGTAGATGTAAATAGCTACGTTTCCATCCAAAGATGCCAATAAAAATGTAACATCACATAAAAGATTTGAGAATAAAGCAGCGTTTCCAGTCAATGAGAAACAAAAGAAAAGAAAATCATCACTTCCTGATAAACTGGAGCAAATATTGATCAGAGAAGTGTAGTTTAGTGTGTTTGGAGAAGCCACTGTGGTGTTTTGTTCTTCTGTAATAAATGAGTTGCGCCTCAGAAGACGAAGACATACGCAATGAATGCAATGCGGTGGCGTGAGACGTCTTTGGGAGCGCAGACAGATGCTCAAGACAGTTCTGGAGGGAGCAATAATAAAATTACACTGAAGCATGGTGATGACGAACTAAAGCTGTGTTCACATCACACGCAGAATGCGTAAATAAATCCTGCTATTCGCGTGTAAATAGAAGCGTGTACATTTTGAGTTTACTCCATTTGCGCGTCAAATTCACTGAGCAATAGACACGGATTCCCGTCATGGGCAGGGCTTCTGTCTGCCCGGTGACTCTAGCTTCATTGTTAAATGGCTAACATGAGTTTTATTGAGAGAATAACTGTGTTTATGTGCTTTTTGAAGGCTGAAAAACAGCGTCAATTTGTTTGGAGCCGTGTCTGAGTCCACTAGATCCTTTCAGAGGTGCGCCCAGCTCTGTGAGTTTATCAACTCCTTCAGAAACTTAACCTGGATGATGGAGGCTTTCAGCATTGCTTCTGACTGAGCTGAGCCCAGTTTGATGAACTGTTGTCGTGTGTGCAGGAGTATTTTCCCCCGAGACACCAACAACAGGCGCCACGTCATAATCACGCCCCCACATGAGTGAGCTCCTGATTAATTAATGCGGCGCGAATGTTCGCTGAAGTTCAAATTTTCGACCTCGAGCGTTTCGCGCTAAACGCGATTTGTGCGTTAAATGCGTCAATCACGCAAAACGATCAACTTGCGCCGCTTCATTCACGCTGCCAGGATGTCTATTCGTGTCTTTGCATTGACTTAACATGTAAATCACCCGCGATTGACACTTCTTCCGCATCTGGAGTAAACGCAGCATAACAGTCGTTACTTCTTTCTTATGTACTATAATTTTAATATTCAAACTATATTGTCATTTCCTGCTATTTATATTATTTGTTAAAACATAATCACATGATTATTTTTATGCACATGATGAAATTTATTCAGTAAATGTGTTTTGATCGTACAGTTGAAGTCAGAATTATTAGACCCCCTGTATATTTTCCTCAAATCCTGCTTAACGAAGGACACATTTCTAAACATATTAGTTTTAATAACCGATTTCTTTTATCTTTGCCATGATTACAGCACATAATATTTGAATAGATATTCTTCATGAGACTAGTATTCAGCTCAAAGTGACATTTCAAAGCTTAATTAGGTTAATTAGGCATGTTAGGGCTATTAGGCAAGTCATTGTAGAACAGTGGTTTATTTTTTAGACAATCCAAAAAAAATGTACACTACCTAACAAAAGTCTTGTGGCCTATCCAAGTTTTAGGAACAGCAAATAATAACTTGACTTCTAGTTGATCATTTGGTATCAGAAGTGGCTTATATGAAAGGCAAAGGCCTCTAGATGACACTTATTGGACCAAAATAAAATATGATCATGCCTTGATTGCTAATGATTTAATTAGGACAGTAAGATCTGACTCTGCTCAGACAAAAGTCTCATCACTGAACAGAAATAATGTCCAGTATAGAATATAAAGTCCTGCTGCAGTGGAGACAGAATGAATATTGTGTCTGACTCCATCATGAGCTTGGAGGACTGCATCCATACATCTCTGCACTGACTCACATCACTGATTAATAAAGTCATCTGGAATGAAGAAGAAAGCGTTCAGCAGGACTCCCAGAGCTCATCAAGATCCTTTGGATTCATCTTCAACACCTCCTCCTTCATCTTACCCCAGACATGCTCAATAATGTTCATGTCTGGTGACTGGGCTGGCCAATCCTGGAGCACCTTGACCGTTTTTGCTTTCAGGAGCTTTGATGTGGAGGCAGAAGTATGAGAAGGAGCGCTATCCTGCTGGAGAATTGTCCCTCTCCTGTGGTTTGTAATGGAATTATGGGCAGCACAAATGTCTTGATCCCTCAGGCTGTTGATGTTGATCTACTCTGCAGATCTCTCGCACGCCCCCATACTCAATGCAACCCCAAACCATGATTTCTCCTTCACCAAACTTGACTGATTTCTGTGAGAATCTTGGGTCCATGTGGGTTCCAGTAGGTCTTCTGCAGTATTAGTGATGATTGGGATGCAGCTCAACAGATGATTCATAGGAAAAATCCACCTTCTGACATTCCCAAATGATCTAGAAGTCAAGGTGTTATTTGTAGCTTTTACAGCTGGGATCCACAACAAGACTTTTGTCAGGTAGTGTATAGCTTAAGGCAGGGGTGCTCAAACTTAGTCCTGGAGGGCCGGTGTCCTGCATATTTTAGTGCCAACCCAATTAAACACAACTGAACCAGCTAATCAAGCTCTTTCTAGGTGTACTAGAAACTTCCAGGCAGGTGTGTTGAAGGAAGTTGGAGCTAAACCATGCAGGACAACGTGTTTGGACACCCCTAGCTTAAGGAGTCTAATAATGTTAGTATAAATAAATTAAAAACCGCTTTTATTCTAGCTGAAATAAAATAAATAAGCATTTCTACACAAGAAAAAATGTTTCAGGTAATACTGTGAATAATTTCTTTCTCAAATAAACATTGTTTGGGAAATATTTGAAAAAGATAATAGACTACTAACGTTGACTTTAGCTGTTGTTTACTTGCATCAAATAAAAAGTTGATCTTATTTAGATGTGTATAATTAAAATGCATACACATACAGTATTAATGTTTCCATCAATATTTTTTTGTTGGGATAGTCCAAAACATGCATATAAACGGGTGGATGGAAACACAGCTAATGACGGAGAATGAAAGGCTCTAAAACAAGAGAGAGACTAGAAAGGAATTCTCAAAGCAGGGAGAGAAAAAGGGACATGTTATATATCTGTCATTTGCAGCGTAGGAAGCCAAAGACACGGAGCTGTTATTTCAAAAGAGAAGATGAGAAGGGGGGGAAAAAAACGCCAGAGTTTCCATCTGTAATTAGCTAAAGCGCTCATTAGGATAACAAGCTTAGTGAAGCTTTCAGAGGCTGCGTTTAATCCTGTCGGCCTGAAACAAAGAAGGGAGAAACGGCACGGTGGGAAAACACACTCTCTCTCTCTGTGCATGCATTAAAGCACCATGCTGGAGCCTCGGGGAACCATTCACTCAGATGAAAGAAGGAGATCGTGTATACATACTTATTGCTGTTGACGTTCAAAATCAAATGAGGGGAGGGGGAAAAATAGGAAACAAGCATTTAAGTGATCTTGTAACACCAACATTTCAATTAAGCAATCAAATCCTGATGAAGCATGCAGCTGTTTGTCTCTACAGCGAGGGCTTTCGTACTGTTTTTCTCGGGGTCTTTGATCAGGTTGTTGGTTTTCCTGACGTCGTCCTCCAGCTTGTCGTAGTTTTTCTTCAAGCCCATCAGGTTGAGGTTCATGTCCTTCAGCCGATTCAGGACGTCCAGCGCCGTGTCGTTGGCTTCGGCCGCCTTCAGCTTAGTAGCCTGGATCTTCAGCGCCATATCTACCATCATACACAACACAAGGATGCCAGATTAATAAAAAACACTGTGCTTACTGTAAAAAGACTAACCCAAACTTAAAATTATAAGGCAACTTTGTGCACAGCTTTTGTTTTAGTTGACTCAACTTTTAACCCAAGCACTACACTTGACTCCATTTAAGTTGATTCATAAAAGAATTGCTCAGCAGCAAGTTGACTTACAATTTTAAGTTGAGTCAGACGTGGCACGTGCAAATAAATCCCACAATTCGTGAGTAAATAGATGCGCAAACATTTTGAGTTTACTCGTTTAATTCACACGTCAAACTCACTTCACAATAGAAGTGGATTCGCATCATGGGCAGGGCTTCTGTCTGCCTGGTGACTAGCTACGTTGCTAAATGGATTTTATTGAGGGAGTAGCTGTGTTGATGTGCTTTAGGAAGGCTGATAAACGACGTATATTTGTTCGGCGCCATGAGTTTATCAACTCCTGCAGAAACTTAACCAGGATGATGGAAGCTTCCAGGGGTGCTTCTGACTTAACCAAGCCCAGTTTGATGAGCTGTTGTCCGGTGTCGGCAAGAGGATTTTCCCATGGGACACCAACAACAGGTACTACGTCATAATCACACCCCTACAAGAGCAAGCTCATGATTGGTTAACGAGACAAGAATGTCCGCTGAAGTTGAGATTTTCCAGCTCTCGCTGCTTCATTCGTGCCACATCATGCGCCGCAGGATGTCTATTTGCATATGGGCCGGATATAGCCCATGTGTGGCCCTTGTCTTTAATTCAGATATGGGTCATTTCAGGACCGTTATTCTTTGCTGTACTTGGGCCAAGGGAAAAGTTATTGCTGGACCAGAAAACATTTGCTATGTGGTACACCAAATATGGCTTCCAGACAATGGCCAAACATGGGCTGGTTGTGGGGTTGGTGCGGTGGATGGCGGAGGGGTGTCACGGACGAAAGTGAGCAGGACGGGGGTGTCATGGACAAACGTGAAGAGGATTGGGGAGTTGCGGAAGAAAGTGAAAGTGAACAGCGGACGGGGGAGGAGGGTGGTTGAGGAGGGGGATCTGTAAAATGAGGCGCCGGATCAGATTTCAAAGGTGCCGGATTCGAAGTGTTCCGGCACAAATTAAGCCCCGCTGGTGACTCCAGCTTCATTGCTAAATGGCTAACATGGATATTATTGAGGGAGTATCTGTGTCGATGTGCTTTAGGAAGGCTGATAAACAGCGTATATTTGTTCGGCGCCATGAGTTTATCAACTACTTATCAACTTTACTAGGATGAAGGAAGCTTCCAGGGGTGCTTCTGACTTAACCAAGCCCAGTTTGATGAGCTGTTGTCTGGTGTCAGCAAGAGCATTTCCCCTCGGGACACCAACAACAGGCACTACGTCATAATCACACCTCTACAAGAGCAAGCTCATGATTGGCTAACGTGGCTTGAATGTCCTCTGAAGCTCATATTTTCCAACTCAAGCGATTCGTGCGTTAAGCACGTCAAACGTGCAAAACACTCAACTCTCGCTGCTTCATTCATGCCGCCTCATGTGTTGCAGGATGTCTATTTGCATCTTGGCTTGACATGTAAATCACTCACGCTTGACACTGCATTCACGTCTGGTGTGAACGCAGCAATACAATTGTAAGTTGTA